GCCAGAGTGAGACAACTAGCCGCCAGCGTAAGACCACTAGCCGCCAGCCAGAGTGAGACCACTAGCCGCCAGAGTGAGACCACTAGCCGCCAGAGTGAGACCACTAGCCGCCAGAGTGAGACCACTAACCGCTGAAGATGTCGGTTTGGGCTGAGGGAGGGTGGGTCTCCAGTCTCAGCCACATGAAGTTGGTGCCGTCTTCAAGGGAAATTGGAAGTAACTGCTGGATATATGGTATAGTGCATAATTTAGAAGCGAACACAATTACGCTGGTACGTACACACATATTGCTGGCACGGACACACGTATTACGGGTATGTCCACACATATTGCTGGCACGGACACACGTATTACGGGTATGTCCACACATATTGCTGGCACGTACACACGTATTACGGGTATGTCCACAAATATTGCTGGCACGGACACACGTATTACGGGTATGTACACACATATTGCTGGCACGGACACACGTATTACGGGTATGTACATACATATTGCTGGCACGGACACACGTATTACGGGTATGTACACACACATTTCTTATATGCACACACAAAATGTTGACTTTTTCCACATATTGCTTGTACCTACACTATAAAGCTGGTGTGCACATAAGCATTGCTGACATTCACATAAATATTTTCGGTACGGTATGAGTACAAATATTGTTAGTGTTAATAAATCTTTCCAGGATGTACTTATATTGCAAGTGTCTCCATAAATATTGCCAGTGTGTATATAAATATTGGCAGTGTCTGCATAAGTATTGCCAGTGTCTCCATAAATATTGCCAGTGTGTATATAAATATTGCAAGTGTCTCCATAAATATTGCCAGTGTCTCCATAAATATTGCCAGTGTGTATATAAATATTGGCAGTGTCTGCATAAGTATTGCCAGTGTCTCCATAAATATTGCCAGTGTGTATATAAATATTGCGTATAAAAATAAAACGTTACTAGATGATTAAAAAAAACAACAAATCGCACATTCTGGAGACACAAGTATTACATGTTCGTTCTTTATCTTTGCTACTGTGAATATGTCACTATGTTGGACTTCTAACATAATTACATTCCAGAGTTAGGTTCCCGTCGCAAGATTCTATTTGCAGCTGGTACTGTGCTTGCCGTCACCCTCAACATGTTGATCTGGTCAGAGGTGTATCCGACTTGGATGTCGGCTAACGTTTATGGCGCCCTGCACTTTTCACACACTGCCGCAGTTTGGCCGGCGCAAGGCGAGTGCCGCTCTCTATCTACATCACATACGTGTGTTAAGTTGTGTTCAAGGGGAACCTAGTCATTAAATAGTTTGTAGAACCGTTCGTACGTGATAACTTAGAATCCCATTAGTTATTTAAACATTAATGGTTGGGCCGAGGAGTGGACACCCTGTTAAAACGACGGCGTCTGCCGGGTCCTGAGACGATGGCGTGTCAACCACGGATGCCTCAATCGTCCGGGTACCCCGACGGCGGTCAATGTTCGCGTCGGGAACGTGCAGTGGTTGAAGTCGGCGTGTCCTCTCGAGAAGCCTGGGCGAGGTGGTATGGTGGGAAATCAGGAGTTGTCCAATGCAGCGGAACCGCGGGCACATGTCATTACATAGCCCGGGGGGGGGGGGGCTTTTTCCTTTCTCGATGAGACTTTGATTTAAACACGTTGTAAAATAAATCTTGGGCAGCAGCTGTTTTCAGTTCAAGTGATTAGGATTAGCAGGTTTAGCCCCGGCTGTGAGGGGGAGGTGGGATGGTGGGAAATGAGGAGGTGTCCAATGCGGCGGAACCGCGGGCACATGTCATTACATAGCCCGGGGGGGGGGGGGCTTTTTCCTTTCTCGATGAGACTTTGATTTCAACACGTTGTAAAATAAATCTTGGGCAGCAGCTGTTTTCAGATCAAGTGATTAGGATTAGCAGGATTAGCCCCGGCTGTGACAATCTAATGTAAGCGGATCTCGTCTGCCCCTTCTTGGGACTGTCAGCCGTCTATAAACAACTCGTTAAACGGAAGGCACGTTCTCATGTCATTCTCAGATACATTTATTTCCAAATGATACATTTTAATAAATTTCCTACTGGTGAACTAGTACATGTTCATAATTTTACTGGGTGCTGCTAATAGAATTGGAATAAAACAAAGTTTGAAAGCGATACAAAAATTATAGCTTGATATTTCAAACACTGTCTACAAAATGACGTATGAAGTGAATGCTATATGAAGTGGGTGCTGTGTTAATTGAATGCTGTTTGACGGGAATGCTATATGAAGTGGGTGCTATGCTAATTGAATACTGTATGGCGTGCATGCTGTATGAAGTAAATGTTGCAGGAAATTAATAATGCATGAAGTGAATGCTGGATGAAGTAATTGATGCATGAAATGAGTGATGTATGAAATGAATATTGTATGAAGTGAATTATGCATAAGGTAAATGTTGTATTAAATGAATGTTGTCTGATGTGAATGCTTTATGGTGTGAATGATGCATTAAAGGAATGTGGTATAAAGTGAACGATGTATGAAGTGAATGTTGTATGAAATGAATGTTGCATAAAGCGTATGTTGTATCGAGTGAATGCTGCATGAAGTGAATGTTGTATGAAGTGAATAATGTATGAAATGAATGCTGTATGAAGTGAATATTTTATGAAGAGAATGATGTATGAAGTGAATGCTTCATTTAGTTTTAATGACATCTTAACAAAACAACTTCATGTTCCTTCACCTGACTCTATCTTCCTACAGGGCGTTACAGCTTCACTGTGGTGACGGCGATGCTGGACATCGGCAGGGGGTCGTGGCCCTCGACCCAGAGCCGCTCCTACAACACGTACCTGAGGGAGTTCAAACAGTTGCTCAAGATGGACGTCAACCTTGCCACCTACGTGGACCGGAAGACACAACGCTTTGTGCACGAACAGAGAAAGGAGATGGGGAATAAGACCACCACCATCTTGGTGGGCATGGAAGACTTACCTTACTTCAGGTCAGAGGTCAATTTAACGCCACCGGAATACCGATACTGGTTTTTTAAATATCGATAAGCATTGACATAGCTGGGGCTGGTTGGATGGCTGGGTGGCTGGATGGTTGGATGGTTGGATGGCTGAATGGCTGGATGGTTGGATGGCTGGTTGGTTGGATGGTTGGATGGCTGGATGGTTGGATGGCTGGATGGTAGGATGGCTGGATGGTTGGATGGCTGGATGGATGGATGACTGGATGGCTGGTTAGTTGGATGGTTGGATGGTTCGATGGCTGGATGTTTGGATGGTTGGATGGCTGGATGGCTGTGGGGTCAAACTGAATAAATACATATCTTGTTCAACGACAAGCAAAAACAAGACCAGCACAGAGGTCGGATGAGGCGTGTTCATTTTGTTTGGGAATTTATCTAAGGGTAGACAAACTCTGAAACTCCCGTAGGCGCCACGACATTGACACAATTTGACTTTCCGGCAACTCCTGGGGAACGCATAAAGAGCACATTGAGACACAAGAAGCACTGAGGATCACCCACTGCATCCTGGTCTATTTCCAGTCGTCTTGACCAAGTCTTGCCATTGAATCAAATAGGGCATGGACGAGAGAGTGAGGCAACGCCGAATTGCGAAACTCTATCACTTTAAACCAAGTACAGTTGTAACTCACAGTCTACCCTGGGTCTTCTTCGCGAAGGACAAACATACATATATAGTTATGGTTAGTGACAAGATCCACCACACCACCTCCACCCCAATAAATAAAATAAGTAAACTAACATTTAAAAAAAAAAAAAATTAATTAAAAAAATCTTCCGTTAGCCGAAAATGACACCCCTCCAAATAAAGAAAAAAAGTACGACCCAGGGCGGAAAACATTGATACCTTCATACGAAGACACCACCCCACCTTTTCTCTCTCTCTCTCTCTCTCTCTCTCTCTCTCTCTCTCTCTCTCTCTCTCTCTCTCTATAGTCATGTTTGCAAATTCACTGGAGTAAACTGAATGTCATGCCCAGCCACAAAAAAATGTCTTCTACTAAAACACTAGATCATTAATTCTAGTCATGTTTGCAAATTCACTGGAGTAAACTGAATGTCATGCCCAGCCACAAAAAAATGTCTTCTACTAAAACACTAGATCATTAATTCTAGTCATGTTTGCAAATTCACTGGAGTAAACTGAATGTCATGCCCAGCCACAAAAAAATGTCTTCTACTAAAACACTAGATCATTAATTCTAGTCATGTTTGCAAATTCACTGGAGTAAACTGAATGCCATGCCCAGCCACACAAAAAAAAATGTCTTCGCCTCCATCATTTTCGGACCGGTAACTACTAGACCCTCTATAAAACTAGAGTTATACATTTTATTTAATTTAGAAAACACTTACTGAAAGGCACATGTGGCCAAATTTACTCTCCTCCCCCGAAAACACACAATATTAAATCGCACCACCCTCGGAGTCATGGAGAGGATTTTTTTGGTGCCAAGCGAATCCAAATTTCGGGACCCAAACAAATTTAAATATAATTGTATCAAACGTAATTTCACTTTCAAAAATCGCCCTCCCCCTTGCGTCCAAATCCCACTTTTGTTGTTGTTGTTGTTGTTGTTGTTGCTGTTGTTGTTGTTGTTGTTGTTGCTGACAGAGTCTTTATTGTGTTACTCGTTTGTCTCCATCGTTGTACTTCCTTCCCTTCCCCCACCCATCTGATTATTGATTTAGTGCCCAAATATTAACAACGTAGATGACAACCAAATTAGGCACAAATGCCTCACTGATTCAAATCACATATTTACATCTCAAGGTGGAAAATAAAACAACAACAACAACTGCTTTTGGATCATTTTCACTCCAACAGATACAGAGGTCGTATAGCCGAGATCATGAACAGCTCAGAGTACAAGAGAGACAACGAGCTGGTCGCCCTCAGGCTGTGCAGGTCCTACATTCCAGAGTATGATATCTTGCAACTGTCAAAACTTTACTTCCTTCACAGGTGAGTTACGGGCACGTTGGTTTTAAGGTAGGTAGTAGCAGGTTGGTAGTTACAGGTTGGTAGTTACAGGTTGGTAGTTACAGGTTGGTAGTTACAGGTTGGTAGTTACAAGTTGGTAGTTACAGGTTGGTAGTTACAGGCTGGTAGTTACAGGTTGGTAGTTACAGGTTGGTAGTTACAAGTTGGTAGTTGCAGGTGGATTGTTACAGGTTGGTTGTTACAGGTTGGTAGTTACAAGTTGGTAGTTGCAGGTGGATTGTTACAGGTTGGTAGTTACAGGTTGGTTGTTACAGGTTGGTAGTTACAGGTGGGGTTTTACTGAATGTAGAATTGTAGATTCAGGTGTGCAGTTACAGGATGATTGTTACGAGTTGATAGCAACAGTTTGGTAAAAAAAAATTCATTGCAATAAGTTGGTACTTTCTGTATGGTAGCTACAGGTTCATTGTTACAGGTTGGTTTTTACAGGGGGGGGGTAGCTACTGGTTTTTTGTTACAGGTTGGTTGTCACAGGTTATTGTACAACACTTTGTATTCTACAGGACGATTTTAACCAACCCGTTTAACACAACGTACTTCGTGTGGATGGATGGTGGATATGGACACGGACATGACATATATCCTTCGGACGGTTCATGGATACCCAAAGAACTTTTGGAAAACCCAGGCCGAATAACTTTTATCGAGAGGCCGCCAGGGGTGCTGCACTACGAGAAGGTCAAGGACACGATGCACAAGCTCTTGAAAACGCCCCTCGTGGGGGGTTTCTTCGGCGGCGGCGTTGAGGCGTTCAAGGAGCTGTACGAGATGCAGCAGCAACAGGTGGATGAGTGGATGAGAGACGGCGTCGTGGATGACGACCAGACGATGTACATGTTGCTGTATTACAAGAAGCCATCTTTGTTTCATCTGGTCCCCGGGGACTGGTATGACGCGTTTAGATTGTTTAACAAGAATGGGACTGTATGAACACTGGAATCGCGCTGGCTCCGATGCTCAAATTTGCTATGGTGGATAACGATACACACCGTCTTAATGACTTGCACCGATACCTGTATCGCCATGATGACTAAACATCGATCCCAACGACATGATGACTAACATCTATACTTACTGTTAAAACCGCTAACATCGATCCTAACGACACGATGACTAACATCGATACTTACTGAAAAAACCGCTAGCATCGATCCTAATGACATGAGGACTCACATCGATACAGGAAGGAACGATGCAAATACTGGTTGGATGTACTCTCCACTCAAAGACATCTCTAAAATAAGGAAACTCGAGACAAGATGCCAATTTTAATGCATATTTTGAAAAACAATAGTCTACCTGGGGTTAACTCTCAAAAGACTGTAGATTTTTCCATTTATTAATGACCTTGAATATATCTTATTCTTCAAAGTGTCTCATGACTGTAATTTTGTAGCTACCTCCAAGTATTATATATGATTTTAAAGGTAATTGGATGCTCTTTAATTGATACTTGGTGTTTGTACAAAATATCCTTGCTAAATTTGATGTTGTATTATTTTTAGGCAAAAAAAATATTTTTTTAAGTCGACAAAAATATAACATCACAGTTTTACAAAGAAGGAAAAAAAAAAGTGTTTCCAATTAAATCAATAAAATTGATATTTTATTAGAATCTGTTCAATACTATAAAACATATTCAAATTTCAAAAGAATAGACTCATAAATAAAAAAGTTATGACTATTTGTAAATAACATATCATTCAAGGAAATATTTCTCAAAAAGTCAAA